CTAAAAATAATCGAAAATGAATATAATTGGCTAAAATACACTTCATGCAATGAGAATTCTTTGACATTTAGCTATCAAATCTCGACAACCTCAGAGGGCGAAACGTTTGCCATGAGAGTGCCACTACGTCTCTTGGATTGCTTTTTCAAGTGAGGGAGACGGAAGTTATTGCCCCCCTTGTGTTTCAAAATAAGAGCCATGACTGCCTGTAGGGGATAGGAAAACATCTTCAAGCTTTTGACTACTCAATTCCGCGAACGCGTCCTTGGTTCCTTGAACAACGTCTTCAGTTGTTTTCATAACTGTCTTGTATTGGAGAGACTGAATTGAGGCAAAGAGCACATTGAGATCTGGGCTATTTGCAGGCTGCGCACGCAAACGGAACTCCCAGCCATCAGTCGAGAGGACATCTAAGAGATCTTGTGTGATAATCTTGTGGGGCGTGGCATTATCGTGTTGGAGGAATACACGCTTCGTCTTGCTTGGGAACTTGGCCTTGATGGATGGCACCACTTTCTCCACATTGAAGTCTCGATACACTTCTGCATTGACATTGACCAAAGAAGTCACCAATGTTCCTTTCGGGCGATTTCTTGAGCTTCGCTGATCTTCCGTCATTTCAACAAACGGCCACAACCCCAGCTTACCATCAAAATACTCACCGGATTGGCAATCATATCTTGGACATGCGACTGCTGCAAGAAACATAACCTTCGGCAAGAAACGTTTGCTCTTCGCGGCACGGTAATCAGGTTCCTCTTCACTTGTGAGGTACACAGTTCTTCTATCCTTGTCGGCGTTAAATTACTTCTCGTCTAGATGCACGACGTCCCACATGCCGTCGAAAACTGTGTCGTCCAAGTCGGTGGTGTCTTCCAAGTCGGTGGTCGCGCGGCAAAACTGAATCCGGTCTCCTTGGCTTTTCGTGGTTAGTTGAGGCTTGATCCTTGACGACTTGCGCTTGAGGACGCCGGACCGGAGAGTGCGACAAATCATTCCATGTGAGAGGCCAGTTGCCAGCGAAAGATCACGGATGGTCGAGCGTCTTGACTGGGGTACACTCGCGATTCTTACCTTGAGCTCTTCTTCTGTGTACTTTGCCCTGCGGCTAACACGTCCTTTCTTCTTTGAGCCCATGTCGTTCTTGTTGAACTGCTTCCACACCTTCGAAATCGTTGCCCGGTGAAGGCCAAACCGGGTTGCCGCCTTCTGGTAAGCACCATGCGCCAACTTGTTGCCACTGAGGAGACTCTGGAGCATCTTCACGACTTGGTGCTTGTCTTCCTCCTTGAGTTCTCTTGTTCGTTCCACTGCCATGGACATGGTTTCAATTTGACTTGAATTCAGTATGATATGGTGACACAATTTCGATCCACATCCACTAGTTTAAAAAATTTCACATGGTCGGGAATTTTTGAACTCGATTTTTCCCGCCAAAACCTTATTTTCGCGCTCATTTAACAACACTACTGCCTTCCTCCTTTAATACTCTTTATTAAATGATGCGATATATGAATTTTCGAATAAAAATGGATTTTTGGGGTCACCTCAAAGTAAATGTTGACAGTATTTTGGCCCAGAGGAAGTAGCATTTAATACCTCCATCAATGTTGATTTCAGCACTTCTTTTGTTACGTTTCCCGCAGCAATTCCTTTTTCTTCTAAAAGGCCAGCGACGCCGTCCAAAACAGTTTGAGGAATTGAGAGAATTGAGTTGTTGTTCCGCTCAAGTCTGTTGTAAACCTAAAATGTCGAGTATAATTTTGAGAAATACCTATGCAATTGAGAATTTACC